AATCACAGCCAGAAAGGATCAGCAATTCAAGCTGTAGATGGAGCCAGTATGGCTTTTTCCACCCCAAGAAGTCAAAAGAAAGCTTGAAATATCAATGAGAACCGCACAAAAATAAATGGCTCAAAAACAAATAGAAAGACATGAAACGATGGTGCATTCCTTGCAGAACCTGCACAAAGCCTTTGCAGAGCCCTCAGAGCACCCGGAACCCAACTGGATCCCATCTTTAGAACTCCTACAGAGCCTTTACAAAACGTAGCCCAGGCATTGAGTGCAACAAAGAGGGGCTCCCGCGAGATTTGGGCTGGAGATCCTGTTTCCTGGCCATTCCCTGGAAAGTGTATTTATGATTGTTTTTCTGTATACATACATACATATAGATAGAAAGAAAGATAAACAGGTAGATAGCTAGGCATGTACGTAGGTAGACAGAAATGTGTGTGATTCGTGTATGCAAATATGTACAGTATCTCTGGAGAGAGATTCAGGTAGCTACATGTTGCCTAGCTGGGCCTAGCTATGGTCCTAGCGTCTTTAAGAAGTGGCACTGGTGGGTGTGAGCACCACAGTATGTATACATGTTCATATGTCTATATATATATATATAGTATTTACACTCACTTACACAGATGCTTGATAGCTAGCAGATAGACAGATAGATAGGTAGATAGGTAGTCAACACCAAGAACGAGACCAAGACCAACAACAACAGCAGCAGCAGCAGCAGCAGCAGCAGCAATATTCAAGATTAGCAGGAACAGCAACAGCCACATCATCATTAATCCTAGCAGCATTAATCGTAACAACAGTGATTACAGTAAACAAACAGATGAACACACAAATCTGCGTATAGTAACCCCCAGTAACAATAGCAATCAACAACAGTAACAATAGCAATAGCAAGAACACTTGAACTAGCCATAATTGTAGACCTTGTTGTAGATACATGCACGCACACACACACACACACCAAGCCAACCAAGCCAAGCCGAACCCTACAACAACTAGCACACTGAAAGCCGCTGTCTACAAAAAACTTAATAGAAACCTCCTATCTCACAAAAAAGCCCCTATCTAATCGAAACTTTGGCAACAGAAAACCCTTGTCTAACAGAAGACCTTGAACCCCAAGAAGAAGCTGCGCCACGATCAGGGGGCACTGAAAGACACTGTACTCTTGGTATATGTATGCGTGTGTATATATATATCTGTATGTATATGCAGAAATAATTCGATTGGCAAATTTTCCTGTTCTTCTTTGTAACATTTTTCGGCAGCCAATTGCAAGGGAGATCCGGTTGTGTTCAACGGTTTCGTGGGGCACTAGGGAGGTTCAGAAGAGGTTCAGAAGAGGTTCAGAAGCACGAAGAGCCGAAGAGCTCTCATCTTCGAAACAGTCCGGGTCCCATCCCCGATCCCTGGAGCAATACTAGGCCAAACCACTCTGAGGCAAAACCGCTCTGAGTGTAATTTAGAGTAGAGCCTTTAGGAGGTGCTCAAGACGCTCAAAAAGGGTCCGTGCCGAATGTATCGGTACGAGGTTGAAGCCGTACCCAAAACGTTGAACTCTCAATCTAGGGAGCTGTAGGTGTCCGGATGATGAACGAGGCGACTGAGATGATTATTGCGATGAGGGACTTCCATCCTGCTGCTGGGCTCTAGATTTTGACAGCTTTGAAACGACACAAGGGAGTAAACAAGACTTAAACACGTAATCCGAGCACCTGTTTAATCAAACCCCCCACATTTAAAGAGATTTTTGTTCGGCCGGAAGCCCGCCGGAAGACTACTTTCCATTAGGGTGGATTTCGTATGGGGATAACCCCTCACATTTAAAGAAATATTTTTGGGGCGGTTCAAAAATCTGTCGGCAGGCTTCTTGTTTTGCTTGCGGAGATGCGAAGCTGCAGCACCTCAGGGATCTGCAGCCTATTGTTTTTAATAGAGAATCAATGCAGGGCCATGGTCCAATTATTGCGGAACCCTGCCTTCCTTATTGCGGTGGGGCGGGGGGGGGGGGGGGGGGGCCCCCAATTAAACAGGTGCTCGGATTATGTAGCAGCCTCCGTAGAACATCTGTGCACGGAGTGGCAAAGCCATATTATGTAGCAGTTCTGTGGTAGAAAGTTTAGAAGACTCAAACAGTTTCAGCCACCGTGAACATCTTCCCCGAGTTTAGGACCGCAGGTTCTAGTCAAGTCATTTAGAGGTGAGGTTTTGGATGCAGAGAACACCGCCAATATGTCTAGCAAGAGCGGTATTGCTGGTAAGAGCGGAGAAGGCTGCATTGGTCATCTTAATCCCAAGAGCGTAGACGTGTCATAACATCCGTAGAACATCGTAACATTTTCTTGCACTGTCAGTCACACATCTCTACAATGCAACATGGGCTAAGGTAGTTGTTGAAAGTACTGACCAATTAGCCTCATGACAAGCAATCGTCAGTACACAGTGGTGTAGCCTCATGACAGAAGCCTTTAGCATACTCTCGCGCCTAGATATAGCAGCACCATAGTCAAGCATGGTACTATGCACATTTCATTTTCAACAACCATGCATCTAAAACTGTCAACCACGATACATCAAAGACCTACATCAAAAGGAGGCATAGATGTGTGTGTGTGACATATGTATATCGATATAGACCAAGCAGTCCCAACACTAAACCCTTCAAACCTCGCTGTCCTGGCCCCATCTCCGCAGTTTTGATGATGTCTTTTCCTTCCTGCGCGATCGGGCTTAGGGGGGTTGGTTTTGGTGCATGCATGGATGCGCAGTGCTTTGGGGTATCGTGGTTCCTGCTGTACCGAGGACGACTATTGAGAAGAAAGTTTGACGTACAAGGGGCTGTAAGGGTTTTAGGCAAAACTGTCCCGCGATTTAAGGATATTTGGAGTGGCCACGTGCGCGCCGCGAACATGGCTGCTGCTGAGGAACCTGAAGGGGGTAGCTTGTATGCGTGGTGCAAGTGTTATGTTTTGGAGAGGCGACGTTTAGTTTTTGATGTGTTTGAAGCTAGAATGGCCCGTTTGGCGATTATGGAGGTGCCACACAGGCCCCTCAACGAGAAGAAGCTTGACTTCAGAAGCCCAAACAACGTCACCCAGGCCAAGTCCTAAACCCGAAACCCTAAACCCATAAACTTAAGCCAACGGCATCTGGATTCAACAACTGGATTTAGAACTGGAGCCTTAAACTTAAACCATCAATCGCAACCTGGAGCCCAAGCCATTTTCGCGAGACTCAGCCTGGAAAGCCTAAGCCCCCTCCGAAACCCACAACCCATAACCCCAATAAGCTAACCCTAATAACCTTATGCCCTCAGAGCCTTAGGCCCTGAACCCCAATGGCCCTGAACCCTGCACCCTGAATTCTGACATCAGATACTCGTGAGAGCCTTGGATGCCGAAGACCTGATCTGTGATCCTGGCACCATCCCAAACACTTCAGGGTTTGAGGCGCTTAGGAGATTGGGGGGTTAAGACGCCTAGTACACAGTTCTGGCATTTAGAGCTCAGGGTTACGAGGTACCCTAAACCTCAAACCCTAGGTCTAGTGGGTTTGGCTTCAGGGCTTGGGGGGTACGGGTTTAGGGTTAGGAAGAAACCTAACCTGCTTAAGCCCCAAGACTGAGAGCTTCGTGACCCGTGAGTATCTTCAGTGCCCCAGAAATGTGGCACGGTGACATATACATGTATATATATATATACATACAATACCAATAGCAGTAACAAAAGTTATAACAATAAATGTGTATATATATATATATATGTATATGTACCCGTTTGTTTTGGGGCCTTGCGCAGGAAACCTACCCTTGTCTTTAAATTAACCCAAACCGCCTCAAGAAGAGTCCAATGAAGAGGCTTTCGTTCCACCCATCGCATTTAGTCCTTGCAGCCCAGTACCCTGCTACAAACCCTTGCCGAAAGCCTGAAGTCCAACCCCTCAACCCAGCGCTGCAGGACATGATCGCAAAGCTTGGTCCAAGATTCACACCGCAATATGTAAAGCGCCTGACCAGTGCCGGCTCGCACATCGTCGTCTTCTTTCCGCACATGGCGCATGTTCCCCTGACTTCTTTGATATGGTGGTCAGAATAAATAGTGATAACATTCCTTAGGGTTCGTTCTTAGAATTATACTATAATGTGCCCCGAGCTCCTATTCTAATTCTTAAGGCCTCTAGAACTGAGCATTTCCATTATTACATATCGCTGACAAGCTCAACTTTAACTAGCTTTCTAATATAGAGATCGGAATCATGAGAAATACGATTTCCCTTGTAGTTTCGAGATACCCCAATACCCCATTCTAGCTATTACGGCCCCTACATTCAGCCACCCTGTATCGCCAACTATGGAGTCGACTCCAAAACCTATTGCCCAGATCCGCACACGATCGATCCGGCAGCCCTAGACCCAAAGCCCAAACCCTAAAGCACCAAACACAATCCCAACTCCCAAGGCTCTATTTAATCCCGGAAGCCCAAAATCCTGCATATCTGATGCCCTAAACAGGTTGAATACCCGAAGTGCACCCAGTCCAAAACGCCCAGGCATGGGCCTTGGGCGTAGTCCGGTGCTACCGGCTCTACATTGCCAGTCAGGCCAGCGATGAAACGATGTCTCTGGAGCCCTCATTCGCATTTGAAGGGGTTAGGGGCCAGGGGTCTGTCTTGGGGCGGTTTAGGGTTTGGGTTTTGGGTTCATGTTTAGGAGTTTAGGGGCTTAGGGTTTAGGGTTCAGAGTTTAGTACTGGCATAGGTAAGCCTTAAATGAAATTTTTCTGGGGCACTATGATCCCTGCAAGACACCAAGGGTTTAGCCTTAGTTCCCCTTAGGATACTGCACCGGAAAGGGTTTTAGTCGAAGGAGACCGGGAAGTAGGGCTGCATGACAGCATGCCGCGCTTTTGGGTACTATCAGGCTTTTGCAACTGCAGCATTTACCGAACAGGTTATTGGGTTATGAGTTGTGTCCCCCCGCATCCTACGCCATTATGCGAGATTCTCAAAGCTTAGAATTTAAGGTCCTAGTCCCAGTGATGGCACGCGCAATATGGGAGATTTAATAGCAACCAGAAACACCAGACTTTTGCAGTCACTAAAGAACTCGAGAGCTCAGCATCCCTAGATGCCCAGCTATCTCTACTCCTGAAAAATCCTGTACAGATCTGGGCGAAAGTCGGATACTACGTCTAGGAAGTTTGCTGTTCCGCGCTCCTTAGACGTATACCATACTACGGTACTAAACCCTTGGCTATTCTACACCTAACCCCGAAACCCCAATTCTCATTACAAAGGCCCCTCTAGTAGCTTGCAAAGGTTCAAGTTCTTCATGACAAGCCCTAAGCTTTAAGCCATTAAACCCGAACCCTTGAAAGGCTTGGGATTAAGGGGTTTGGGGGTTACGGGTTAAGGGTTCAGGGTTTCGGGACTAAGTCGTAAGCCCTATAAGCTCATAATCTCAACCCTGAACCATGATTGTCCTTGGGGTTACGCATCAGGTGTTTCGATTATTTGTTGCGCATTGAAGGCTTTTACGTCATTTTTTGTTGTTTGAGCGGTTGCGGCTTCAGGGAAAGCGCGATCGCAGAACTAGAAAGCATTTTCGGGCATACTGTAGTTTGTATACGGACTATAAGGGGCCAGTATTGCTGCTTGTTCAGATCCCTTTAATACAGGAACGTGATCAAGAAGCCTTGGGTCTCTACTAGGGTTCTGTATATGGCTCCGGATATGTTGGTGTTCTAAGTTCAGGGTTTCTTACTCAGATTCCTACTCCAACAGGATTTACATAGGGTTTTTCTTCGGATATAGGATGTGCAGTTGGTCTTGTTTAGTTTCGTGCAGAGTTTTAGTTTTTGGGTCTGGGGCTAGTTGCGCTTCAACTTTAGGATGTCGGGTTCAGAATGTGGTTCTAGCGCTTTCGCTATGGGTTTCGGCTACTAGCATGTGAACAAGCTCATAAACGCTTTAGTTTCTATTTATAAGCATAATTACAGTTGCTATTCTGATGTTTGTTTGCATTAACAAGTTGACCATGGTGATGCTTACTACTGCTTTATTAGCATGTTGTTAGTAGTTTTATTGCTGTTTTTCATTATTGCTACTGGTAGTGTTATTACTGCCATTACTGTTAGTATTGTTGTTATTCGTACATATTGTTATTGTTATGATAATGTTTATTATTTGTATTATGATTGTTATTTCCATTTTACGACCATGGCTACTACTACTTCTACTACTACTACTACTACTACTACTACTACTACTACTACTACTACTACTACTACTACTACTACTACTACTACTACTACTGCTACTGCTACTGCTACTGCTACTGCTACTGCTACTGCTACTGCTACTGCTACTGCTGCTGCTGCTGCTCCTCCTCCTCCTCCTCCTGCTGCTGCACCTCCTCCTGCTGCTGCTGATGTTATCATTCAGTGTCTCCTTGTGATTCTGCGCCAAGGAGTTGGAGAACACGGTCCCGCTGAGCTTGTACCTGAAGTGCATTGGCCGCCTCTTCTGCAACAGAGGTTCGAGCGGGATTTTCATTGGGTTTTACGCTGTAATGTCATATAGAAGCCTGAATAGTTACTAACATGATTCCGTAGGGCTCCTTTGTAAAAACATACTACCCCAGAAGAACTTTTTCAGCCGGCTAGTGTAGGAACCTGGTCAAGAAGCCCTGGCCCTACAACCGCAAAACACTGGGGGTTCATAGAGTCATAGAAAGAACCCCAAGTAGCAAAGACCCAGGTTCCTATAGTACCTCCATCTGCCACAACATGAATATGTTATGTTGTAGGGCTTCTCGGAGTTATAAAACTATATGATACGAGTTTATTTTCAGACCAAGTACGTCAGGTAGGGCATGCATGAACCCCTGAAGCCTGTACCCTATGTAAAGCCTAAGCATTCAACCCTGAAAACAAAATCCTAAGCCCGAAGCGCTAAACCCCCCTTGAAAGCCTGGGCCATGTGGGGTACAAGGGCGTTTAGTTTTTCATTTCGGGTTTGGGGCTTTAGGACTTCGAAAGTTTTGGGGTTTTCGGGGGCGCAAGGGTATATCTGAAACGTCGCCACAGGACCCGGCTTTCGAAAACTCTATGCCGGCATCAATCTTTTGCGGGGAATTCTCGCGATTCTAACAACACCAAGGCTCCATGGGACCTATTTTGGGATTGCTATAGGGACCTTAATAAGTACCAATACTACTTTGGGTGTTCCTTATTATAATTCTAGTAAAATCTACGCCAAAACCCTTGTCCAATTATTAAGGCCCCTATAGTACGCACTTGGGTTCAGGATAGTAGTAATGTAGGTCAGCATGTACGCGAATGCCATATCATGAGTCTGAGAGGTACTTGCAGCCTCTATGGCAATGCCAAGAGCTTCCCAAAGGGTCCAAAGTTCCCATATGGTGGAATGCAGGCTTTCTATATGAATTGGGAATTACTATTATGATTTGGGGAAGTATCCCCCACAACAGTACCTAGGACCCTTTGGGCTTGGCGAACTCCCCCAGATCTCGGAAGGCTGTAAGATCAGACCCTGCGTTTCCTCAACCCAAACTGGCAGACGGGCGGTTTTGGGTTTCGGGTTCAGGGTTTAGGGTTTAGGTTTAGGGGTCAAGGGCTTAAAGGCCTCGGGTCAAGATTGCTTTCGGGGTCAAGTGGTGTTCGGGTGGTTGAGATCCAGGTCCCGACTGCAAGCAAATTGCGGTCTCCCTGCTGGTGAACATCGAGCCAGCCATTAGCGCGCTTGAGGGCGCGCCTCGAATTGAGATTCAGCCTCTAGGCTGCATGATGAGATGCAGTCCCAACCCTAAAGGGCCCCAAGGTCCCAAGAAATGAGGTATCTGGGTGTGGTTCTTGCACCCTTATTAGAGCGCCCTAAACCCCAAATCCCAGAGGCTTCAATGGGTTGGTTCCGCACGAAGAAGCATACTTAAAAGCCTCAAGAATTACCAATATAATTGTTAGGGTTCCTTATTTGAATTATAGTGCCGCAAAACCCACCCGAAACCCCTGAGTTTGCAACCCCCAAACAGGGCCCGAAAAGAACCCGCCACGCCGAAGACACAACACAAGCTCTCGAATGGAAAGCCCAGCAGGGACTTTAATCAGTGCCTCAACAGCCCTGAACTAAATAGCTTTAGCGTCGCACTAACATAGCCACAGCAAGCCTTCATAAACCGTTAACCCTATACCTTGAGCCCCCGGTATAGCCCAAACCCTAAACCCACAACCCTAGCCCTAAACCCAAAAGCTTTCAAGAGCCCCAGGATCGAGGCAGCGGAGGCCCTCCGAGTGCTGGGTCCCCGTCACTCCGAACGCTCGCTGAAGGCACTGGCACCAAGGCGCTCTCAAAACGTTTTGGGCCTAGGGTTTAGGGATTTCATATGAAGTAGAGCTTCGATTCGGGAAGTTTTTGGTGAGTCTATGTATATCGGGCTGCTTTAGAAATTGATGAGCATATATTTAGGTCCTACCATGGGGATACTATCAGTACATGCCCTACCTTTGCTAGCGTTGTATAGGTACCCTTAGAAGGGTTTTGCGCATTAAGGGGTTCTGATGACAAGTGTTCTGGTGGCTTCAGAAGAGCTTCGAGACGATTGTCTCTCAGGGGTTTCAACTGGGGACGTTTTGTATTTTCTTATTCAGCTCAAGCGGATCTCTTTTACGAATTTTGAAGAGCCAACCCAGTCAACAGGTTAGGAGAACGTTTTGGGTTCCCGGAGAGACCCCTTAATTGAGGGTGTAGGGTTTTTGGATGCAATATAACTATACCTTAAGTCGAAACGGGATCCTGAATTCTTGAAGTGTGTTCTTAAGCTAAGGTCTGTTGGGGAATGAAGGTCTCTGACTTCCTTGCTGAGCTTTATACCCAGCAATTTTAAGAAAGCCTCCACTCCTTAAACCCCAGCCCTTCAAATCGTAGATCGAAATTGCCGTAAACCGCCGACGCAAGCGCCTTCCAACCCTCAACGCCAAACCGCCACCTGGACACCAAACATATCCAGAAGGATGGCCTTTGAAACTGTGACTATTTGACTCGGTTTTGGGATAGTTGGATCCTTTATGCGAGGACCCCGAAGCAAGTCCCAAACCCCAAGCGCTAAATAAACCCTAAACCCCGAAACCCAAACCACAAATTATCTGATTCTCAGGCTGGTTTCACATTCTGCAGACCTTCGAAAAGCTGTGCTTAGCGCCATCCAGAACGGGTGGAGCTCAGATGACGAGGAATGTGCCTCGGTTTAGGGTTTCTGTGTTTTGTGCTGTGTGCGCGTTGGTGTTGGGGAGGCGGGGGGTGGCGAAGGTTTGAAAGGCTCACTATAGGACACTCCCTTTCTATTATGTTTTCCCCCCGCGGTGGCCGGAAACTTAGTCCTGCCATCGTCTCACCCGAAAAGGGTTGCAAAGAGCCCCGTACAGAACTGCCCATCGTGCACGTAGTCTCCCTGAACTTATTTATCCATACCATACGCATCCTCCGACTTTCATGTTTTCCCGCACGCTAGTCCCACTGAAAAGGCTGCTGACGAGCGGTCTCACCTGTGGGCGCGCTCAACGCTGCAGAGAGAGAAAAAGAGAGGGGGGACCCCCCGGGGTTCCCCAAGCCCTGTAGAAGAAGACAGACAGACAGACAGACAGACAGACAGACAGACAGAGAGAGAGAGAGAGCACCCAGTAAGTCCTAAACCCTAATTTGAGGCTCAAGCCTCAAATTAAACCCTAAAGCCCCAATGCCCTAAACCCTAGACCCAGAGTCTAGGGTTTGAGGAGTGAAGGACGCCGAGGGGTTTCCGGCATAAACTCGATGGACCAAAGGAGTTCGGGTAGGATATTCCCGGTTTAGCGGTTAGGGTTTCGGGGTTCCGGGTTTAGGGCTTCGGGTTTAGGGTTTAGGGGTTTCGGGTTTCGGGTTTAGGGCTCAGGGTGGGTGGTTTCAGAAAATAAGGGACCTCTACATTATATATATATATATATATTATATATCTATCTATCTATCTGAGGGTCCCGACCCTCCGTAGCTCGAATCACTTTGCCCGCAGACCTCCGAACTGTTCTCATACCGTTGGGTTTAGGGCTTAAGGGTTTAGAGTTTGTGGTCGTATTTAGGCTGTAGGTTTTAATTTTATTTTGGATTTAACGTTTCAGGGTTTAGGGCTTATGGGGTTTGGTGTTTGGCTTATGTTTGGAGTTCTAATAACTAGTACAAGATCTCCTTCTTCTACACCCTACGACCTAAACCCAAATCCTAAACCCTTCTGAACCGTAGCTTTGTGTCTCCAAATGTATAAACGCCAAACCCTAACCTTCCCTCTCAAAATCTTAAAGCCATCCGTTCCACTCTTAGCTGTGGCCCAGGTGCGGTTGTGCTTGTCAACGGCTTGCCGGATTTCTCGACCGGAGTCTTTTCATGATGCTACAGCTCTTGGGGTTCGGTGTAGTGTAGGGGTTAGATACCAGTGGGGTAGGTTCAGGATTTTTAGTTTGCTGAAGACGTAGTGTGGCTCCGGGTCATCTTGAACTCAAATTCGTTGTTCTTTCTAGGCTCCTTGCCGAATTCCAAGAAGCCACGGCACCCAGAACCAGCACGTGGACCCAGCTCGAAAGGACAAGAACAGCAGCAGCAACAACAGCAACAGCTACTACCGCGACGACGACTACTGCCACGAATACGATTACTACGACTCTGACTCCAACGACGACTACTACTAGTACTAGTACAAGTATTGGTACTAGTGCTTGTCCTGGTACAACTACTACCATCACGATCTACAGCACAAGCGCGATGCTTCGTCGATACACACCACGATGATCATAAAACTTCTGCTCGTAGACCTCTATTCCTCTATTCGCCGAAAGCTTTATGGACAGTTTTTTGGTATTTAAAGTGCTACGTCGGGTTCCAGGAAAAGCAGTCAGAATTAGAGCTGGGTTCCTTAGTAGAATCATCGCAACCCCGAACCCTGCAACCCCAAACAACCCGGCTCTAAATGTTAATCAAGGCCCCTAAGTACCCTCAACCCTAAACCCCTAGTGTATCCTAGCTGCAGCTAAGGAGTTGAAGCTCCGCTGGAAGAGGCTTTGGAGGCCCTCATGCATTTCAATCCCAGCCATCCCGAAGTGGTGGAGCGCCGCTTTGCGGACAATGGTTCAAGGATAAGGTATCAGGAACTTTCAGTTTAGGTTTTGGGTTCTTTTTTCCTTCGCATTTTCGGCTGCTGAGGGTGCCCCTTTTTGGCTGACTCACGGAGGCCAGAGTCCAACTTCACTGGAACATGGTACACCGGAATGTACACCCTGACGAGCATACCCCTGTCCTGTACAACAGTCGAATCAATATAGTTAGTATAACACGTTTAATTAGTGAGAGGATCGCACTGGGGATCCTCCATTAAATCCTTTCACGATCTTCTGGGCATTGAAGGCATAGTGGGAGGCCTCAATGTGGGCAAAGACGCTCAGCAGTTGGCCCCTTAGCGGCACGAGCACTATGCGGCACGGCATGGCGGGCATGGGTCCTAAAATTTCATTCCCTAGGGTTGAATCCTGACAGTACAATATCGAAGCCTGACGAAGTCTCATCATCGCTGCTCTGACTTGGGCAATTGTGCTTTAATGCATCCTAAAACTCTGTTCTAGTTCTTGAGATTTCTTGAGGCCCCCAAAGTAAGGGACCCTGCATTGCACATCGTCATGTTCCAGAGTTTTACGCGAGAACCCGATGCCGTACGCTAGCAAGAAGATCTCGGGGATGCTTAGCTGCTGGGATGAGTTGACGAACAGTCGTTACACTGTGTTACGTAACGTGAAGCCCTAAGTCATTCGGTGTTGCCAGCTTTGCCCTACGCCCCATGCCTTAATTTCTACCTCAAGCCCTAAGCCCCAAGTGAAAAAGTCTGCAAGGTCAGCCTTGCCTATTTCGATCGCGTGGCAGTCAGTGCAGACGCGGAGTCATTGGTCGCTGGCACTTTGCAGCACATGTTCCAAGAAGGCCGCGACAGCATGCCATCCACTCATAAGGCGGGGCTGCACCCAAGATTTTTTTTGACAACTTAAACCCTAAAGCCCAGTTTAGTTCTGGAGCCATTGTTTTGTGTGGCCTTCAGGGTATAGGATGCTTCAGGATTTGAGGCTCTCGGTTTTGAGTCTAGGGTGTTTATGCTACAACAGCTGAGCACATGTTGGACAAGTTCAACTGCAGCTACCTGAGTGCTCTTGTGTGCTGCTTTGTGGAAGGCAAGAAGAATCCCGGGTCCTGAAGAGCTTGTTGTCGTAACTTACAGGAATGGAACCACTCACAAACAGCCCTCTGCGAACGGGATACTGTTGGGTGTTGTTGATAATGCGGTTTATCGTTGAAATGGTTTACATCATTCAGATGCGTTGTTGGCTGCATGGAGCGTCTTGCATTGTTTACGTTTGGGGCTTAGGGCAGCCTAGCAGACTGTCGGAAGATTGAAGTTAATTGTAGAGATCCGACTCTCAGATTGAAAAACGGGCATCGTGTCCCTAAACCCGAAACCCTAAACCCTAATTAAACCGTGCGGGTGTGCCGAAGCATCCCTGCACACCCTGAACACGAAGCCCGAGTCACTCTGGCCCTAAGCCATCCCCGAACCGAAACCTGGCTGAACCGCGAACCCGAAACATCGCTGAACCTTGCACCAACTGATTGAGCTTTCAATCCTAAAACCTACATGCTAAGCCTCAACCCCAAACCTCAACACCCGAAACCCACGAAGACCCTGACATCAGCCCTGATAACATCCGTACAAAACCCTAGGTGATTCTCCGCGCCCTGGAAGTCGTAGCAAGCCGTTCCTACGACGGGGTAC